TTCTGTAGCCTGAATTTATCCAATAATTGAAATGATGCAGAAAAACCTTTCTTAAATAAAACTTCAGAAAGTCTTTATTAACAAATTCAATTGAAAGGGAACTCGAATAGCGAACTTTTTCAAAGTGCCACTCGCCATCGGAGTTCTAAAATTAAGTAATTCCCATGACACACAATTTATCCATTTTAGAACTCCGATGGCGAGTGGCACTTTGAAAAAGTTCTCCATTCGAGTTCACTTTCACTTTTTCCATTTTATTTTTTTAATCTTAATGTATTGTAATTCTTATTGAAGCATGATTTATATTGTTTGATTGTATCTTAATTGGCTAGTTGATTATAGACAATATTGTTAATGCAATAACTGGATACTGCTGCGTTGCGCGCAAAAGGCATATTGTTATTGATATTGTTTACTTCTTCTGTAATTTTTTTATTGTATAATTAAAATATCTTTCTTTTGTATTTTATTGGAAGTTGCTGCATTTTTCCGCCATTCTGTTTAACGGAAAGTTTAATTTTTAATATCTCTTATTAAATTATTTCACTTCTACTTGTAATCATATAAAATTATAATTTTTGTTGTTTATATTTGTTTATTTTCCATATCCATAAGTGAAAAAGAAGTTACTACATTTTTTATTTCATTTTTTTCCATATTCGTACATCTGGTTAACTTTCATATTGTTTCATTCATTCAATTCCTACTATTAGTTCACACTCTCCCTATATATATTTATTTATATATCTTGTTCAAATTTTCAATCGTTAATAAAATACTTTTTATTCATCCACTCAAGTTCAAATACATTTTTTAGACTTGTAGTGGATGGCACTTGATGTTAATACAGTTTTTCAAATATTGATTCATTAATGAAATTGAATTAATTAATTTTATTTATTAGAGCCTCGCACAGGCTACGATCATGGTGTAGGGATAAGAAATGCGGAACGGGACTCGGTGGCGCAACGATAGCACATCCGACTTCAGATCGGAAGGCTGCGTGTTCAAATCACGTCCGGGTCAAGAGATTTATTCAAGACATATAATTTTTGCACTTAATTTATATGCTGAAAAATATCTCTTGTTGGCAATTACATCCAAAAATGTTTAGTTCCCCGTTTGAATGGATAAACTTAGGTCTATTTTTTCTTCAATTCCTACTATTAGTTCACTCTCTCCCTATATATATTTATATATCTTGTTCAAATTTTCAATCGTTAATAAAATACTTTTCATTCATCCACTCAGGTTCAAATACATTTTTTAAACTTATAGTGGATGACACTTGATGTTAATACAATTTTTCTAAAATAGAAAAAAATTTCTAAAATAAAATTTTTCTTTGTTGACCTAAGTAGGAATTGACTTTAAATTTTTTTTTATATTACTTGTTTTCAATTAGCAAGAAATCTTACAAAAATCAAACAATAAGATTTTTTTATCAAAATGAAAAATTCT